TGGGTGGGTCCAAGGCCCCCGGAGAACTGTCCTGCAGGCCGGTGGGTGGGTCCAAGGCCCCCCGGAGAACTGCTCTCCAGACTGGTGGGTGATAGCTGGGTCCGGACGAGTGTCCTCCCTGTCCTCTGGAGGAGTGGAGGTAGGATCAGAGTAATCTGTTCCTTGACTGGGAGGACTCTCCTAGGCCACATGTTTACTTCGGGTGAAAATTTTAAATTACAGATTCAGTGACTTTAATAGGTCCATTTAAGTTTCCTATTCCTTCTTAATTTTGAGAAGTTAGTTACATTTTACCAGAAATGTCTCCATTTCAACCAAAATTTCTTCAGATTTCTTGGCAAGAGTTAAGTGTCCCCAGTTTCCTGCCTTTTACATCTCTGCTCTGCCTGCAGCCGGGGCCCCCTTGCATCCCTGGGGTCGTCCCTGTGTGCCCCCCGAACTTGGGTTTCCTCCGTCAGTCCTGCCGGAGCTTGTCAGTTTAATCAGGCACTTCCGAGAATCCATCTTCAGCTGCAGCATCCTTTTTTCTTCTCAGAATTTATTTGCTTTGCCATCTATTTTCTTTACTTCTTGCTTTAGGACCACTGTGTTCTCTTGCTAACTTCTTACATTGAATATTTAGTTTCAGTCTTTCCTGATGTGTGCAGTTAGGGCTGTAAATGGCTCCAGCATGGCATTCAGCCACGTCTCGCATCGTGATAGGTAGCGCTTTTCATTATTTTTTGGTTCTCAGCATTTCCTGATTTCTGTTATGAGTTCTTCTTTGAGCCACGAGTTGGTGTGTTTTCTAATTTCCAAACATAAGGACTCATGGTTCTCTTTTTGCTATCAATTTCTAACAAATTGCACTGTGGTAAGAAAAGGAAGTGTGGTTGGCCTTCACTTTTTTGTGGAGACTCGCTTTACGGGCCAGTGCGTGGTCAGCCCACAGACATTCCACATGTGTTTGGGATCATGTGTCTTCTCCGTCTGTTTCACAGAGTTCTATTTGTGTTCATTAAGCAGAGCTTGCTAATTGTATTGTTCACGTTTTGGTTTTCCTGACTGACGATTGTCTGCTGGGTCTGAGAAAGACATGACGAAGTCTCCCTTGTCTTCTTTCCATTGCACCCTTTTTAGACATTTTAAAGCTGCTTTACTAAATGTAGACATTTAACATCATTTTGCCCTTTTGTGATGAATTGAAGTTTTATCACAGTAACCTTCTGTGTATCCAGTAATGGCCTTTCCCTTACATCTTTTGTGCCAGATACTGGAGCTATGACCCCAGCTGCCCTTTGGCCAGGTTTGCCTGCCTAGCATCAGTTTTCCTGTGTGACTTTCAGCCTTCCCCTGAAGTTTCAGATGTGTCTCCTATAAACAGCAAAAGCTTGGGCAGTATATTATTTTCATGTCCTGTCCAGTGGTCCGTGCTGTAAGTGGAAACGTGGGTCATTTGCCGTTAGTTTGATCCCTTTTTTCAGATGCCTTTGTACCATCATACTTTATTCTTTGTTTGTCCCCATTTCCTGGAGCTCTTTCCTTTTTCTCTTTTCTCACCTTCTCTTGGGGTAGTTGAGGGTTTCCTGCATTCCGTTTTTTCCTCTACTGAGTCCAAAGATATGCAACCTATTTTCTTGTTTTTCATTCGTCATTTTCAACAATTGGAGCATGTATTCTCAACACAGTCAGCGTCCTGACTCCCGCCTCTATGCAAACCAAAGCCGGGACTGGGCCAGCCCCAATTAGGGTGCTAGGGTGCCAGGGTGCCAGAGTAGACACAGAGCACCCAGGTGGATATCCTTCCACTGCAAAACTACTTGTTTATCAGACATTGAAATTGAACCAGGGCCGTGAGTGGTTTTGTTTGTTTTTGTTTCACTAAATCCGGCAGCCCTAGCTCCAGTGCCCCATCCCAGGTTCTATCACTGACTGGTATTTCATTTCCTTCTTTCTTTTGTTTGATTTCACTGATAAGACACCATTATTATTGCTCTGTGTCATCCGTCTTCATCCAGGCTCTCTCTCCTGCACTTACATCATTTTCTTGGCTCATCGTTCCTTCTCATTTCTCACACTGTCTTCTAGGATTATTTTCATACGGCCTTAACTGTAATACATCCACTAGAGTGTCCCTTGGGAAAACACTCATGTGGTCAACTTCCCCAGCTCATGTTTGTGAGGAGGAAGTTCTTTATCTCACCGTTGTTCTTGGATGATAGTTTCACTAGATAAACAATTCTGGGTTGACAAGGATTTGCTCTTGACACATTGAAGATCTTAAGCCACTGTCTGCTTGTCTCCATTGCTGTTAAGGAGTTGGTGTGTGGCTAATGGCTGCCCCTCTGAAGATTCTGTTTTCTCTAGCAGCTTTTATAATTTTCTTTTTGCTTTTGATGTTCTGCAGTTTTACTCTGATATGACTAGGTGTGCATTCCTGGTTTTTTTTTCCCCCCCTGCTTGGGTCTCAAATCTTCCATGTTAGGTTCATAAATCTCTGGTTGTTTCATCATACAGAAATGTCATTTATTTTTAATACATACTCAGCATATTTACTTTTTATAATTTATAACTGATAATTTCAATAACTGCAGTCTTTAAGGATCTAATCAACATTCTTAATAAACTTAATTTTTAGGTAGTTTAAGATTTACAGAAACATTGTAGAGATTATGTACAAGTTCCTCATATCCCCCTCGGAAAACGTCTTCTACTGCGAACCTCTTACCTCGATACGAGTCATTCGTCACAACTTAGAAACCAGCGCTGGGCCGTGACTATTAACTCCAAAGTGTATTCGATGTCACCAGCTTTACCGCAGCTGCCCCTTTTCTATTCTAGGGTCCTGTCCGGGATCACACATCACATTTAGTCATTTCGTGTCTTTTGTCTCAGTCTTCCATGGCTTTTCAAGGAGCACTGGCCAGGGGTTTTGCAGACTGTCCCTCAGTTTGTGTTTGAGTTTTTTCTCCTGGTTCTGTGCCTTGGGGAGGAAGATCACAGAATCACAGTGCCGTTTGCCTGTCGGATGTGCTGCCAGCGTGGCTCACTGACCTTGGTCATTTGCTGAGAGTGATGTTTGCCGGGTCCTTCCACCACTGGGTTACACTTTTACTGCCTTTCCAAATGTATTCTCTGGAAGAAAGTCACACTCAGCGCAGCACACACTCGGGGACAGAGTTGGGGAGGCCTTTAGCTCCATCTCCTGGAGAGGGGAGTAGGTACGTGCGTTACTTGAAATGTCAAGGATTTGTCTCTGCTCCCTGTGTATTTAGTTACTTGTTCTTATCCCGGTGAACTCCTGGGTATCTTACACTTTGGGTCATGCTTCAATACCGAGGTGTTTATTTGGCTGCTCAGCTGGTTCCTGCTCTGGCCCTGGGGCACCTTTCAGACTGGCCCTGCGTGTCCTGTGGTGGACCCATCCCTTGACCTTCAGGCATGTCCTGATTTCCCAGCTCCACAAGGTGGTCCAGGCTCTCCTTGTATTTTCCCTGCCCCAGCCTTGGACCGAGCCGTTGTCCAAGGAGCCCACTTCCCTTCATTGGAGAATGGGATTGGGAACCTCACTGGTCTCTGCCGACCCAGGCTCGTGCTGGCTCGCTTCTGTGTTGTTTGGGGTTTTTGTGTTTGGGAACTCATGCGTCCTGGAAGTTAACCGGCTGCACTCATTTGAAGCCTGCTGTGGGGATGTGTGCCTCCAAAGAGGCCCTGCAGTGGTTGCTGCCTGGCGCCCTGGCCTGGCGGAGCTGACACTGTCGATAGTAGCTGTCCATTCACAGTGTCTAGAGCCAGGCAGATTCTCAGGGCCACTTTGTCTTTTCTCCTCTACCCAGAAGCCAGAGTTAAAACCCAAACGCTCCTTCCGATGGCCTCTGTGGGACAAGTTGTTGTGTGTCTGTCCTCGCTCACCCATCCTTTCCTGACAGTGGTCTTTCCAGGACACCTGGGGACATGGGTGCTATGGCCCCCTGGATCAGGTCCAGCTTTGTTCCAGACCCAGCAGGTTTTCCCTGGTTTTGTGGGCTTTTCCAGTTATTTAAATGTTCTTGAACTGTTGTATTTCTATATTTTTATAATCTATTTCAATCAACCTTTTTTTAAATTTTTATTTTGAGACAGGGTCTCACTCTGTTGCCCAGACAAGAGTGCTGTGGCACAATCTCGGCTCACTGCAGCCTCCACCTCCCAGATTCAAGGGATTCTCATGCCTCAGCCTCCCGAGTAGCTGGGACTACAGGTGCACACCACCACGCCTGGCTAAGTTTTGTATTTTTAGTACAGAGGGAGTTTCACCACGTTGCCCAGGCTGGTCTGGAACTCCTGACCTCAAGTGATCCACCTGCCTTGGCCTCCCAAAGTACTGGGATTACAGGCATGAGCCACCGCGCCTGGCCAGTCAACCATTTTTAATTGTTGTATTGCAAATGCTTTGCCCTATTGCCCCGTCATTTACCTATAAACTTCTTCCCTGCTTTTATCTGCTGCCAGTACTTAGGGAAAAACTTGGTGTGCAGGATTCCCTCTGAGAGATCTGACTTCTTCCATTTCATCTCCCCCAACCCCACCTTCCACTGCCCTGAAAGAAAACCAAGATCAGGGGATATGCAAACATTTTTATTTATTAATAAAAGACAAGGAAAAGGAAAGTGATGAAGTAAGCATCCCTCCCCCTAATGTAACCCTGTGGCATCGATGGTGGATACCAAGCTCACGTGCTGGTGCCAGCCCATTCCTGGGGGCCGTCTTTCTTCCTGCTACTTGTAGGAACCCACAAATATACCTTTATAGTGCCCTAAAAAAATACCTACATAAATCCACTTTTACAAACAAGTTATATAATAAATACCACAGCACATTTGACTTTTTAAAGTTATTTTTTTCTACTCTGTGGGCAAATGCACCCCACAAGGGACTCTGTGCTCAGGAAACAGTTGCAGTCTCGGTACACCCCATCTAATGCACGTGTGGATTATATTGGCAGTCTTTATATTCTTACGTATTTTCTTCCAGCTTGATCCTCTCCCAGAAAAGGTTTTACAGCAAAGACCCAATGCAAACGCTGTCCGCTCCATGGAGAAAGTCATGGAAATCCACAGTAAGTTGCCTGGCCAGGTGCTCACAGGGGACACGCTCCTGGTGGCGGGACCCCACTGCCCCACATCCCTGTCCCCCTATACCCCCAGATCCTCTCCATCCCACTGCCAGCTGCTTCCCCAGGCCTGCAGCAGGAGGCCTTGCTTTCAGCCGCATTTCTTGAGCTGGTAGAGACTCACATGTAACTCCCACTGGATTTTCCCCAGCCTACTGGGATGGTTCCATCAGCCCATTTTGTAGGTCTAAAGAATCAAGGCCCAGACAGTCTCAGTGTGAAGTCACTTGCTCTAGGTCCCCAGCTAGCAGTGGGAGCCATGGCTATGAACCTGTACCCTGGGGACTCCGGCCTCTTCCCTGGACCAGAGAAGCCCACGTCCTTAGATCAAACCTTTGGCCCTGCAAAGAGGCAGGATGTAGGCCCTCCGCGTTCTGGCACCGACCCTCAAGGAGTGGGTCCTGGGTGCAAGGGCGTGGCACGCAGCCTGTCTCAGAGGCACCTCCCACACCCTGTCATTGTCGCAAGCCCAGCTTGTCTTGCCTTTGAGATGACCCAGATGGTTGCCTGTCTACACAGGCAGGTGTAGTCCAGAGCGTGACTCTCCATTTCCCTGTGTGGGGGAGTCCCGGCCTCAGAGCGCTGAAGCTGACCCTGGGCCAGGCCCAGCCCTCCACATACACCCGCTTGTACCTGATGCAGGACCCTCCACCCCCAGCCTCTGTGAGGGCCCAGGCAGAAGATCCCTCAGCCCCAGCAACAATCCACCAGCTCATCTCCCAGAGATAGGAAGGCTCAACCCAGCAGGCTGGCAGCCCCCACTCCTGAGCTCCCAGGGCAGAAAGGAGCGTGGAAAGCCAGGCCCACAGGAGCCTCTGTCTGCAGTCCTAGGCAGGCCTGCTCCTGGAGGGACTCGAGCCACTCACGATGGGGAAACATTTCCAGAGATTCTCGGTCTTCACGAGTTTGTAGCCATGCAGTCCTCTGCTTCGCGTCTCTTCAAAGACGGGTGCTTTTAAAATCATAAGGGATCAATCTCGTTTGAGGCTCAGGGTCCCGCAGGACCCTCCCGGGCCGCCGTGCATCCTGCTAAGGTGTAGTCACTGAGCGACCTTCCTCACCCCACCCCAGGCAAGTACTGGCGCTGCCTGCAGCGTGCAACCTCCACGGCAGGGCGTTCTCTGATCGAGGCTCAGACCTGCGAGAACGAAGAAGCCGAGACGGTCACCGCCATGGCCTCGCTGTCCGTGGGCGTGAAGCCCGCCGAAAAGAGGTGAGCACCTGCCCTGCCGGCCACCTGCCCTGCTGCCCACCTGCAGGCTCACCCAGCCCCACTGTGTCCAGGGACACTCTGTTCAGGGTCAGAACATTTATGGCACGTGCCATGCCAAACAGACTAGAGACAGGCCAGCGGGGCCCCCTCCTTCTAGTGCCAAAGCCCCTTAGAGATGCATGAGGAGCGTTAGATACTGAACAGATGGACCCGGTGCCCCCGGGCCTGGGTAGGCTGGCGGGTGGGGCAGCGCACAGCCTTTAACCCACGTTCTGTTCTCTCCTCTCTGTGGTCCACCTGCCCCACGCCCCGTCTCTTTCTCTTGCGGGATCCACAGACCAGACGAGGAGCCCATGGAAGAGGAGCCGCCCCTGTAGCACTCCCTCGAAGCTGCTGTTCTCTTGTCTGTCTGTCTCTGTCTTGAAGCTCAGCCAAGAAACTTTCCCGTGTCACGCCTGCGTCCCACCGTGGGGCTCTCTTGGAGCATCCAGGGACACCCGGCGTACAACAGCCACGGGAAGCCTTTCTGCCACCCAGGCCCACAGGTCTCAAGACGCACATGCACACCTGGGCGTGGCAGCCTCACAGGGAACACGGGACAGATGCCGGCGACGCGCAGACACACGGACACGCGCAAGCCAAGCACACTCTGGTGGGTCCCGCGAGGGGCGCCGTGGAGGAAAGAAGCCTGTGGCGACAGGCGGCCGAGCTGCCGAATTCAGTTGACACGAGGCACAGAAAACGAATATCAAAGATCTAATAATACAAAACAAACTTGATTAAAACTGGTGCTTAAAGTTTGATTATTACCCACAACTCCACAGTCTCTGTGTAAACCACTCGACTCATCTTGTAGCTTATTTTTTTTTAAAGAGGACGTTTTCTACGGCTGTGGCCTGCCTCTGTGAACCATAGCGGTGTGCGGTGGGGGGTCTGCACCCGGGTGGGGGATGGAGTGACCTTTAAAGAAAACAAAACTGGACAGAAACAGGAATGTGAGCCTGGGGGAGCTGGCTTGAGTTTCTCAAAGCCATCGGAAGATGCGAGTTTGTGCCTTTTTTTTATTGCTCTGGTGGATTTTTGTGGCTGGGTTTTCTGAAGTCTGAGGAACAATGCCTTAAGAAAAAACAAACAGCAGGAATTGGTGGGACAGTTTCCTGTGGCCAGCTGAGTCTGGCAGTGCTGGCACCGCGAGCTGGCCTGACGCCCCAAGCATGGGCACCAGCCGTCATCTCCGGGGCCAGGGGCTGCAGCCCGGCGGTCCCTGTTTTGCTTTATCGCTGTTTAAGAAAAATGGAGGTAGTTCCAAAAAAGTGGCAAATCCCGTTGGAGGTTTTGAAGTCCAACAAATTTTAAACGAATCCAAAGTGTTCTCTTCTCACACGTCACATAACGATTGAACATCTCCATCTGGTCGTGAAGCATGTGGTAGGCACACTTGCAGTGTTACGATCGGAATGCTTTTTATTAAAAGCAAGTAGCATGAAGTATTGCTTAAATTTTAGGTATAAATAAATATATATATGTATAATATATATTCCAATGTATTCCAAGCTAAGAAACTTGATTCTTATGAAATCTTGATAAAATATTTATAATGCATTTATAGAAAAAGTATATATATATATAAAGTGAATGCAGATTGCCGAGGTCCCTGCGAATGGATGGCTCTCAAGGTGCTTATGGAAAGGGATCCTGATTGAAATTCATGTATTTTCAAGCTCCAGATTGGCTTGATTTCAGATCGCCAACACATTCGCCACTGGGCAACTACCCTACAAGTTTGTACTTTCATTTTAATTATTTTCTAACAGAACCCCTCCCGTCTCCAAGCCTTCATGCACATATGTACCTAATGAGTTTTTATAGCAAAGAATATAAATTTGCTGTTGATTTTTGTATGAATTTTTCACAAAAAGATCCTGAATAAGCATTGTTTTATGAATTTTACATTTTTTCTCACCATTTAGCGATTTTCTGAATGGTAATAATGTCTAAATCTTTTTCCTTTCTGAATTCTTGCTTGTACATTTTTTTAACTTTCAAAGGTTTTTAATTATTTGTTTTTATTTTTGTACAATGAGTTTTCTGCAGCATATGGAATTGTTGCCGTCAGAGTTTATTTTCAGAAAGTTAGAGGAGGGACCGTAGGTCTTTTTGGAGTGACACCAACGATTGTGTCTTTCCTAGTCTGTCCTAGGAGCTGTATAAAGAAGCCCGGGGCTCTTTTTAACCTTCAACACTAGTAGTATTACGAGGGGTGGTGTATTTTTCCCCTCTGTGGCAGGGGCAGGGAGGGTCGCTTAGGATGCCCGGCCACCCTGGGAGGCTTGCCAGATGCCGGGGGCAGTCAGCATTAATGAAACTCATGTTTAAACTTTTCTGACCACATCGTCAGGATAGAATTCTAACTTCAGTTTTCCAAAGACCTTTTAAGCATGTCAGCAATGCATGGGGCACACGTGGGGCTCTTTACCCGTTTGGGTTTTTCCACTGCAGCCACATGGCCAGCCCTGGATTTTGGAGCCTGTGGCTGCAAGGAGCCCAAGGACCCTTGTTGCCTGGTGAACCTGCAGGGAGGGTATGATTTCCTGACCAGGACAGCCAGTCTTTACTCTTTTTCTCTTACAGTAACTGACAGTCACGTTTTACTGGTAACTTATTTTCCAGCACATGAAGCCACCAGTTTCATTCCAAAGCGTATCGGGTTCAGACTTGTGGGCAGAAGTTCAGACACACCGTGCTCAGGAGGGACCCAGAGCCAAGTTTCGGAGTTTGGTAAAGTTTACAGGGTAGCTTCTGAAATTAACTCAAACTTTTGACCAAATGAGTGCAGATTCTTGAATTCACTTGGTCATTGGGCTGCTGACAGTCAGCTCTGAGACAGTGGTTTGAGAGCAGGCAGAACGGTCTTGGGACTTGTTTGACTTTCCCCTCCCTAGTGGCCACTCTTTGCTCTGAAGCCCAGATTGGCAAGAGGAGCTGGTCCATTCCCCATTCATGGCATAGAGCAGTGGCAGGGCCCAGCTAGCCGGCTCTTCTGGCCTCCTTGGCCTCATTCTCTGCACAGCCCTCTGGGGATCCTACCACCTGCCCTCTTACCCCGCCATGGCTTATGGGGAGGAATGCATCATCTCACTTTTTTTGTTTTAAGCAGATGATGGGATAACATGGACTGCTTAGTGGCTAGGTTATCAATGGGGAGACTAAATTCTAATCTCATTCAAATGGAGACATCCTCTGTGCAAAGACCTGGCAGGGGGAGGCACGTTTCATCTGTCAGCTCACTCCAGCTTCACAAATGTGCTGAGAGCATTACTGTGTAGCCTTTTCTTTGAAGACGCACTTGGCCCTTCTCCACAGCAAGTGTCTGGGCAGATGGCAGAGGATCTGCCTCGGCATCTGCGGGCAGGACCCCATCAGGGAGGGTTCTTTCGTGTGCCCTCCCTGTGGGTCCTTGGACCTTTAGCCTTTTTCTTCCTTTGCAAAGGCCTTGGGGGCACTGGCTGGGAGTCAGCAAGCGAGCACTTTATATCCCTTTGAGGGAAACCCCAATGACGCCACTGGGCCTCTTGGCGTCTGCCCTGCCCTCGCGGCTTCCTGCCGTGCTGCAGCGTGCCCACGTGCCCACGCCCCACCAGCAGGCGGCTGTCCCGGAGGCCGTGGCCCGCTGGGACTGGCCGCCCCTCCCCAGCGTCCCAGGGCTTCGGTTCTGGAGGGCCACTTTGTCAAGGTGTTTCAGTTTTTCTTTACTTCTTTTGAAAATCTGTTTGCAAGGGGAAGGACCATTTCGTAATGGTCTGACACAAAGCGAGTTTGATTTTTGCAGCACTAGCAATGGACTTTGTTGTTTTTCTTTTTGATCAGAACATTCCTTCTTTACTGGTCACAGCCATGTGCTCATTCCATTCTTCTTTTTGTAGACTTTGGGCCCACATGTTTTATGGGCATTGATACATATATAAATATATAGATATAAATATATATGAATATATTTTTTTAAGTTTCCTACACCTGGAGGTTGCATGGACTGTACGACCGGCATGTCTTTATATTGTATACAGATTTTGCACGCCAAACTCGGCAGCTTTGGGGAAGAAGAAAAATGCCTTTTTGTTCCCCTCTCATGACATTTGCAGATACAAAAGATGGAAATTTTTCTGTAAAACAAAACCTTGAAGGAGAGGGGGGGGAAGTTTGCGTCTTATTGAACTTATTCTTAAGAAATTGTACTTTTTATTGTAAGAAAAATAAAAAGGACTACTTAAACATTTGTCATATTAAGAAAAAAAGTTTATCTAGCACTTGTGACATACCAATAATAGAGTTTATTGTATTTATGTGGAAACAGTGTTTTAGGGAAACTACTCAGAATTCAGAGTGAACTGCCTGTCTCTCTCTTGAGTTGATTTGGAGGAATTTTGTTCTGTTTTGTTTTGTTTGTCTCCTTTTATCTCCTTCCACGGGCCAGGCGAGCACCGCCCGCCCTCACTGGCCTTGTGACGGTTTATTCTGATTGAGAACTGGGCGGACTCGAACGAGTCCCCTTTTCCGCACAGCTGTGTTGACTTTTTAATTACTTTTAGGTGATTTATGGCTAAGATTTCACTTTAAGCAGTCGTGAACTGTGCGAGCACTGTGGTTTAAAATTATACTTTGCATCGAAAGGAAACCATTTCTTCATTGTAATGAAGCTGAGCTTGTTCTTAGCTCGGCCTCACTTTGTCTCTGGCATTGATTAAAAGTCTCCTATTGAAAGAAAAAGAAAGCGAACAGTTTTTGTTTGTTTGGTTTTTTTGCTGTGTGTGCTCCATAGTGGAGGCGCTATTTTCCAATTGATGAGAATGACAAACATATATAATCTATCTACCTATCTATCTATCTATCTATCTATCTATCTATCTATCTATCTATCTATCTATCTATAAAGGGGGCTTGAACCTTACTCACCCAAGAGCTTCTTACGGAATGTGGTAGAAAACCAAGTTGTAACGACACTGTAACCTACTTGATGCCTGTTCGCGCCCGGCGTGAGCTCCGCACTGGCCGTGGCCACCATTCGCCTCTGTAATTTAATCCGTTTCTCTTGGATTGTCTGGACGTGCCCGACGGTTCTTTCTTTTGCTCAGTGGAGTTGGAGGTTTTGTGTTTGGTTTTCTCATTCTTGTCTTGTTTTGTGTGGGTGGATTTTCACTGACCAATGATAACCTCTTCTGACGGTCAACTTCTTTCCACTTCACTGGAGTCCAGTATTCTGTACCACATCACGCAATGTGTTACTCTTGTGGTGTAAATAAAGACTGCGTTACTTGCCCTCCCAGCTCTGGTTTCTGCCCGTGCACTCTCTTCCTCATTGGCTCTCGCATGTCTGGGACCCTGTGGGCCGAATGGCCAGTGCCCTGGGTCCCATCCAGATGGTTGCCTGGGAATCACTGGACCCCATGGGGACGGCCCCTAGGCCCAGACCAGCGGCAGACCCGACCCCCTCTGCCTATATAATCAGGTCCCATAGGAGTGTCTTCGTTTTAAATGTCCAGTAATTTAAATCTTTACATTATCTTCTCCCCCAAAACACTTACCAAGCCATGGTGAGCTGGAAATAATCTTGGAGAGAACAAGGCCAAAGAGAGAGGCCCAGGACCCACGCCTAGCCACCTGCCCACAGCCGGGCAAACACACTTCTGAGACTGGAGTCCAAACACCAGCCACAGCTCCTGACCCTCGGCAGCGCCCCTTCCCAGGCTCCCGCATCCAGTGACTAATCAGTTGGGTGCAGAGCAGTGTAAGCACCAGGCCATCTTGGCCCAACTTAAGACAACTCAAGACCTGCTGGCTTCCCGGAAGGTACCTGAGCCCCTCCCTAGGCTGATTGCCTTCCCTCCTCCCCTGTCACAGCTGCCAATCCAAGGACACCTTAACCACCTTGCACACCGAAGCCCACCCAGTCTGCTCCCCAGAAACCCAGCCCAGGCACCCAGGTTGCCCCTGAGCCCCCGAAAGAGGCCTCTGGAACAGAGGGCCCTGCTGGTCCCCAGGCACAGCCGTGTGGCAAGTGGGGCTCAGTCGGCCCCAGTACAAGAAGAGGTACTTGGAACCTGAAGCCACTGAGGCTGGAGTGATTTTGTTATTGTTACTGATTCAATTGGCATGTTTACTGGTTATAGTATATTAGTTATCTATTGCTTGCAATAGATTCCCTCGAAATTTAACAGCTTCAAATAGCAGACATTTATTACCTTGGAGTTTCTGAAGGTCCGAGTCCAGGTACATCTCAGCAGAGTCCCTGTCTCATCTTCCCTGGGGGTCTAGTCAGATGCTCAGCCAGGGTTCCTCTGGGGGCCCAGCTGCAGGGGGACCAGGCTGGGGGTTGGCCTCCAGGCACATCCCTGTGGCTGTGGGTGGCCACCTTCCCTGCCTGATGGGCCTCTCCACAGGGCCGCCTCGAGGCCTGGCCATCGGCGTCCCCCACGGCACGTGATCTAGGAGCAAGTGGAGGACGCACCAGGAGACACAGCCAGTCTTTTAAATAGCCTCATCTCCGTGGGCATAGAAACCAGTCCAGGAGGCCAGCCCACACTCATGGGTGAGGCTTTCTCTGCTCAAGGCCCAAGGACCCTCAGACTCAGATCCCACTGCGCTTCCCTGGATTCGTCCGTCTCACATGCTAGAGTAGAGATTTGGAAACTGGTCTGCTCCTCTAGCCCAAGAGATGAAGACATCACCGCTGCCCAATAAACAGGTGGAATGAAGGGTTCCAGGGTTGTCTTCTCCACCCATTTGTTTCATTACTGGGGCTGTGAACTAGAAAGCTTTATCTATTTTGGGATGCTAATCCTTTATCCATCATAAATTTATAGTATCTTCTGGTCTTTAGGTTCTCCTCTCTCTGTCTCTGAAAAAGTCAGACACATACAGAAGTGGGGGACTAGTGGAGGCCCTGTGTGCTCATCAACCTGCCTCAACAGCTGTAAACACTCCCAAATGTGTTTAGTCTACCCCCTCCTCACCCCAAACAGGATTGTTAGGAGGCAGCAGCAAATCCCAGACATCTTATCATTTCATCTGTAAATATCTCAGTAGATTTCTCTCAAAGATAAAGACTCTCTTCTTAGACAACACAGTATCTTATCACGCTGCCAAAGCAGGCAGTTTCATGTCATGATCATATTCAGCCCATGTTGAGATTTCCCCGTTGTTTCAGATTGTCTTGGGTTTTTTTTCGTTGTTGTTGTTGTTACCGTGGTTTTGTTTTGTTTTGTTTTCTTGCAATGTATTTGCAGAAGAAATCCAGCCATTTATGCATTTGTACATCCACTGTGCCCTAGCCCTTTCCCCTGACAAGTATAGGAGGCAGGTGGGGCTAGAGCACTGGCCAATTCAGGCTCACACCCCTAGCAGAAGCCCCTCAGAGGTGGGGCCCACCCTTCTTTGACGTGGCCACTGGGCCCATTATTTCATTGGGGGTTTGAAGGCGGTGATGCTTTCTTGCCATTCCATTTTCACAAATGAGATACTTAAATGCATTCACATTCACAACAAGCAAGCAACTGTTATATCAAGTCTCTAGGCCCAACACCTTTGTTTAGAAAGAAGTAAACACGTAAAGGTTACAATTACAAATTGAAAAGGGTTTCCACTCAGTGCCCCATTGATTCGAGATCTTTTAGTCAATAATTTATGGATGGTATTATTATTATTATTATTAATTATTATTTTAGACAGAGTCTCACCCTGTCGCCCAGGCTGGAGTGCAATGGCACAGTCTCGGCTCACTGCGACCTCCACCTCCTAGGTTCAAGTGATTCTCCTGCCTCAGCCTCGCAAGTAGCTGGGATTACAGGCGCCTGCCACCATGCCCGGCTTTTTTGAATTTTTAGTAGAGACGGTATTCCACCATGTTGGCAAGGCTGGTCTCAAACTCCTTACCTCAGGTGATCTGCCCGTCTTGGCCCCCCAAAGTGCTGGGATTATAGGCATGAACCACTGCACCCAGCCAAGGATGGTAATATTATATGGTACTATATATATGAGACTTTAATATATATATACTTATACTATATATATGAGACTTGAATAATATATGAGACTTGAAGTTTTATTTTTAAATGCACTTAAAATTTCTATTTAAAAGGAACTCCCTGGCCAATTAAACTGTTTTGTTGATTTGATTTCAAATGCAATAACATTTTATTTCTCTGATAGTGATGGAAAATAAATTCATATGAAAATGTGGGAAAAAAGAAGTCTGGCATTGTAATTCATGCAAGTCTTGGGATTTATGCACAAAAACTAAAATGCTGCCGTGTTCTCAGTTTCTTATGCTGCTTAAAAGTTTTTGTCTGATATCTGAGTGTACAAAAAATGGAAACTCAGGTTTGCAACTAAATTGTGCTATAATTTCAACACATATTGTCTTTTACATCAGATTCTCAGGAAGCGCACGTCATAATGCAGCGTAGGAGGACCCAGGAAGTGGTTCCACTTAAACTTTTTGGGTGCAGTTTTAGGGAGTTGTATGTCCCTGACATACTCTTAATTTCAGTCTGGATTCAGTTGCTCTTTGAAGTCACACTGAATCTCTAATGGGTACTTGGGGCCTCAGACTAATGTGTTATAATGTTGAAGTTATTAATAGAGCCGCTTTGGAAAGTAAACAACTCCCAGTAATGGGCAGTTAAATATATGACAAAATGACAGAGGATGGCAAAGCTAATGTCTGCGTGGGTGACACACATCTACCGAGCCCACCACAGATATTCGCAGGGCCTGGGGCAAGGGTTCAAGCGGAGACAACCATATGCCCAAGTACGTAGACACAGATCAAGCTCCAAAAGTGTTGTACAGAAATATGGGCTCCTCGCCACCTTGACAAATCCACCTCCCTAAAGACGCAGGAGGCCAGGCTGGAGCTGCGGCTCTCAGCCTCCCAGGGGCCCTTGGTAGCCTCTGCCACCGCCTCCCTCTTCCTACTCCTGCTGGGGAGACCACAGTCCACCCCCTGCCTAGCTGCTTCTCAGGGCTTCTCACCTGGCACCAGAACTCAGAATGGCTCCTTAAGGGTTCTCCCCAGATGCTGCACACAGCATTTCTGCCTAAGAGCCCCTGGGGCTCATGGCCACAGCAGCTGCAAGCAAGGCCGGGATGTGTAGTCCTCCACAGGTACCCATGTGTCCAGGTGGAAACGGCAGCTCTATTGTTAGGGAAGAAAGGGAGGGTGGGTACTGAGAGACACCAGAGTCTCTGCCACAGAACCAAGAACAGCTGCATACCTCACCAACACACGAGGAGCCACTGCACCCAGTACCCCACAACCCCAGGGCCTTCCTGTGAGGTCCACACTCTACCCAAAAGACATCTGTGCCAGTGGGAAGGCAGAAGGTCAGGGATGGTGCCGCCTGGACCCTCCGGGTGGGCACAACCAACTAATGATACCAGCGAAGGTGGCCAGCCCTTACAACCACATTCCGGCCAATCGGAGGCTCTCTTCTTTCCTAGAATCAATCGTGCCAGTCTTCTCCAGAGACGAAGGTGGTACACACAGGTCCAAGGTGAGTATCATGACCAGAAGGAAGTCATCAAATGGTATCAGAACAGGAACTGGCACTGTGCTGTCTGGCTAGTGAATTACTGGGGGACTGAGGATAAAAGGTACCAGGACAGTTCTACAAGTAATGGCTGCGTGCACAGCCACGAAGCTGATGAGATGCTGTTCGAGCAATCACTAGAAATACAAAAAGACATTTCCAAGAGATGTTAGGCCAGGTGCATACAGGAGCATACAGCAGAAATGAAAAATAATCTCAAGGATGAACATCACGGATTCTCCTGCAAGCTCCAGGTGGGAAGGGCTGCTGAAGAGGGAACGGATGAAGCGCCACAGTGGGCAGCTCTCTAGGCGGCACCTCTCTGACTTGGTCCCAGCTGGCAGCAACGTGGCAGGAGGCACCAGGTGTGCCGCACGAAACCGGAGAGCTTCAGCCAGCCAAACCCAGAGGCCCTCATGCCTCGTTAGAAAGGCAAGAAGAAATGACAGATATTCCGTACGAGTCCGTTCTCACACTGCTATAAAGAAATACCTGAGACTCGGCAATTGATAAAGAAAAGCGGTTTAATTGGCTCACGTTCCCCAGGCTGTATAGGAAGCATGAGGCTGGCATCTGTTCAGCCTCTGGGGAAGCCTCAGGAAATGTCCAGTCATGGCGGAAGGGGAAGCAGGTATGTCTTCCAGGACTGGAGCAGGAGCAAGAGAGGGGGAAGGGGCCCCACACTTTTAAACAACCAGGTCCATGAGAGCTCACTCATTCACTCCACAGT